AAAAACCAAACTATTGGGGTGGGGGCATGGATCTCAGGCTCTGCCAGGGCAGAGACTGGATGGAACCCCCACAAGTCAAGAAGGATGTGTGTGTAGGGAGATGGCCACATTGCTCTTTACCTTGAGGGCAAGGGGCACAAGAGTAACAAGGGCAACTTTGTACCTCTCCAGTCATCAGTCTTTAGTACACTTGCTTGTGCTTTCCTCGGCAGGCGAAGTCCACTCCCAGATTGCAGTCCAGTCATGAATGCTACCCACACATATTCAAAATGACTCACCAAACCGCTTATAAACATCCAAAATGGCTGCACCCTCAGGGCAGCCACAGACAGTCTACAGATCCACCTGTCCTTTTCCTTGCTGTTCTCCCCTATGGTTGTCAGTCACCAATGCAGTCCTTGTCCATGTAGCCTTGGTGAGCACAGACAATTCTTAGGTTGCTCTGGGAAATATTCAAATTAGCGATGTCCTCAGGACTGCCAGCAGTTCACAGCTCCATTTGTGTCCTTACTCACTGTTTCATTCAAGTTCATCTACTAATTGATATTTAATTTACTTCTTTTACCTTCCTTTCAAAGCTCAGGTTTCCAGGATTGTCTTTTGTATCAATTTTAATTGGTTCCTCATTGATGTGTTGCAGAGGGTCTGTGTAGCTTGTCTGCCTATTTGACCATCTTGCCAGAATTCTCTTGAATAAAGTTTTTATTTATTAAAGAAGTTACCCATATGCCTCCTTTTTTGCTGTTTTCATGCAGGTTCTTCTACTAGTTGGAGTTTTATCCATTTCCGTATCCTTACTTTCAAAGATCAGGACTCCAGGATTAGCTTCTGTATCTATGTTAGTTGGTTCCTCTTTCCTTTCTTGAAGAGGATCTGTGTAGTTTGTCTGCCTATTCCACCATATAACCAGAACTTCTAAATCTTGACATTTTTTGTAATTCAATTATCAATAGTATTTTTGACTTCTTCACATTATCTCATAATTAATAATACCAGATAAAAGTTCTTCATGCAAAGGAACCATCTTTCTATCAGTAAAACAACTAGAAAGTGTTATAGAATGTAAGAGGTTGTTGTTGTTGTTATGTGCCGTTGAGTCAGACCCGACTCATAGCGACCTCTACTTGGGTTTCCAAGGTGGTATCACTACGGAAGTAGATTGCCCAAACTTCCTTCCTCTCGAGGAGTGACTGGTGGGTTTGAACCACCAGCCTTCTGGTTAGCAGTCAAGTAGCACTATGCTGCCAGAGCTTACCACTTTATATAAAGAGGAAAAAAAAAAAAAAATGAAAGCAACTGCCACTGATATAAAAGGCTTACCTTTCAATTCCCCTAAGTATGTATCATTCAGAATTCCCAGAGAAACAGAAACAATAGCATATTTTATATCCATATGTATACTTATGTAAAGGCCGTGGTTCATGATTGTGAGGACTGACAAGCCCAACAGCCATAGGGCAAGTAAACAGGCTGAAAACTCAAGCATTTCTATGTTACAGTGTTCAAGCAGAATCCTTTCTCTTGGAAACCTCAGTTTTGCTCTTAAGGCCCACCCCTATTTTCAAGGGTAATCTCTTTTACTTTGAAATCAAACACATTGCTGTTTAGTTGATTCTCACTGATAGCAACCCTATAAGACAGAGTAGAACTGCCCCACAAGGTTTTCAAGACTGTAAATTTTTATAGAAGCAGAGTGCCTCATCTTTCACCCACAGAGTGGCTGTTGAGTGTCAACCTTTCCATCAGCAGCTGAAATTTTAACCACTGTGCCATCAAGATTCCTTGTTTCACTTGAGGTCAACTGTAAATGTTAGTCACTTCTACAAAATACCTTTACAGCTACATCTAGATTACTGTTTGTCCAGGCAACTCAGTACCACCACCTAGCCAAGCTGGTAAATAAAATAGACATCATAAGCTAAAAAACAGACAATTTATATAAACACATGAAATAATTCTAAACAGTATTCATAAATATATGTATATATAGCACTAAATGAATAGTTAACTAATATCACTTTCAGCTACATGGAAAAAGATTCAAAATGTTACACACAGATTATGTCTATGAGAATATTAGTGAAAGAAGACTCTCTCACATATTAATAAAAATTCCACAGCAATTTGGTCACATATTTCCAAATTTAAAAATCATTACATATTATGACCCAACTATTCTCTTTCTGGGAATTTTTTAACAGATATCTTCATTCAGATGTGAAATTTATCTATATACAAAATACCAATTCAATATTATCCATAACATCAGAACGTTGGAAACCAGCTAGATAGCTACTTGTCAATGCTATAGTGGTATACTATGCAGCTATTAACGAAATGTGGCAGCTCTGTATCTAAGTGTATCTATTTTTTTCCAGATATAAAATAAACACAGCAGTGTGTATAAAATTGTATCATTTTCTAAAATGAATTTTTAAAAAGTTCATATTACATTATCAATAGATGTATATAAACCAGTAAGTTATTCAATTGCTTTATCAGTGAGAAGTAAAAGAATTAAAGACAAAGACAGATGCTAGATTTATTTTTCACTCATTATCCATTTTCATCTTTTAAATTTCTTACTAAGTAGACTTTTTCAATACATTTACATATGTATTAGATATATGTATGTTATACATATGTATGTATGTATAGTTTATGTATCTCAATAATTTTAAACAAAGACTGTTATAAAATATTATAAACCAGTTAATTATGATTTATCAGTGCAATTAAGACTTTTTGATAAATAAGTGATATTCTTAGTTCTAATAGTGATAAGTACCTGGGCACATTATTTTCATCTTTACAAATAGTTTCATGTTGATGTCTACTTTCTTGACAGTCAGTTATATCTGCAACATACATTTTGCCTGCACACCTGGAAATGCATGGACATTGATATCTTCCACTATCTTCATCAGTCAAACAGGTGCATGTACATGTCTATAAATATAAGAGATAAAATATTGTAAATTCCCATTACATACAATACAACGATTACTTGTTGGTTTGCATTTCATGTTTTCTTTTATGAGTTAAATTCATACTTTTTTCCCCCTACCCAAAATACCAAATCCACTACTATCCAGTTGATTTCTACTCTTAGCAATCCTATAGGGCCCATTAGAATTGCCACATAGATTTTCCAAGGCTATAAAGAAGGTTGCTACATCTCTCTCCCACGGAGCTGCTGGTAGTTTCATACCATCAACCTTTTGGTTACTAGCTGAGCACTTTATGCATTTTGTTACAAGAGTAAAAATTAATTATTTAAAAATTCCATCAAAATTATTTTTAAAAATCATACTAAAAGTATGATAAAATCAAACCAAACTCACTGCCATCGAGTCAGATTCAACTCATAGCAGCCCCTCCTTGGGTTTCCCAGGCAGTATTACTATGGAAATAGATTGTCCAATCTTTGCAAAGAGTGGATGGTCGAAAATTATAATAGAAATATATAAAGTGTGAAATGATAAACAGGTAAACATCTAGTACACAACTGTTTTTAAAAATACATGTAGAAATAATCTAGTTTTATACATTTTTAATATATTAACTAATATGGTATAAATAGCATTGTATTGAAAGCCACATCTATGGCAAAACTGTTTATAATATTGAATAATTTTATCTCCTTGAATGAGTTATTTGAATTGATTGTAACATCTTACTAGAGGTCTCTTAATAATGAATGAAATAGGATTTTTAAGACATGTTCATTTTACCTTAAAATGGACGTCACAATTTTAACTTTTTGAAATTTATTCTTTAACAATTTGAGAGATTGTCTACAGACAATCTCAATAAAATTACCTGGAATATCCAGGTAAATTTTGTCACCATAGAAGGGAAGAATTAGGGCATACTTAAGCCCAGGCAAATCTTTCCTCATTACCAAAAGTAAGTCCAAAACAGCAATGGAGGTTTAATAATTCTATTTCTTAATTTAGATTTTTTTCTTGAAACTTTCATGTGTTCATTTTGGTTTTGGTTTATTTACAGCCAATAAGCTATTTCCTGTCAGTAGTTTCACAGTCTGATTCTTTGGTGATTCTCTGTAAATAAATTATTTATGATTTATGATTTATTTAGACCTAGTCTCATAAAGTCTTTATGATTAGAATAGACTTGAAGACTACAAGTTTGTAGTTTCTGTTGAAGGATCCATAGTGGCACAGTAGTTAAAGCACTCAGATGCGAACTGAAAAGACAGTGGTTTGAATCTACTAGCTGCTCTAGGGGGGGAAATATGTGGCACTCTGTATCCTTGGAAAACCTATACTCTGTTTTGTGGGGTCACTATGAGTCAGAATCACACAATGGTAATGAATTTGAGAGTCAATTGAAACTATTTGCTTTTCTATTTGTCTATTTGGAGCTCAAATCATTTAAATATTTCAAGCCCAGGAGGAAGGACAACATTTCTTTGACTTGGATTGATGAGCTTTTGATATTTGTCATTTGCTTGACCCATAACCAAAATATTTTAACTGAACCCATAAGCTCTCACTAACTGTATCTCTATGGCTGTTGTTGTTGTTGTTGTGTGCCGTCAAGTCAGACCCAACTCGTAGCGACCCCTCCTTGGGTTTTCCAGGCAATTTCACTATGGAAGTAGATTGCCCCATTTTCCTTCCGAGGAGTGGCTGTTGGGTTTGAACCTCCAGCCTTCTGGTTAGCAGTCAAGTGCCTTAGGCACTACACTACCAGAACTCCTTCTCTATGCCTATGTGCCTGTAATTTGGAAAGGTCTTTACTGCTTACTGTTTTGAGTGTGTAATGTTTCCCACTTTCAGATGGAATTAGTCAATTGGTTGTAAAGTTTCTTAAATGAAAGGAGAGCTATTGACATTGTCCTATAAAGATAAATAAGCACTTACTTATTTACCTTAACTTCTCTGAAAATAATGAAATAAAACCATTTTAAATCTGCAAGATTTTTAAAATGTATTCTTATAAAAACTAACCCAGAAATATTTTAAGAATTCAAGTTCTTATACTCTAGGCAAAAGTTTGGTAAGCTAAACCAGTTTAATATATTGATTTGGAAAAAAAAAAAAAAATCTATCTATCTATCTATCTATCTATCTATATATCCATGCCTCACTAAATTATCAGTGTGTGTAAGTGTGTGTGGGAGCTCTGGTGGCATAGTGTCTAACCAGAAACTGGAAGTTCAAACCCACCAGCCAGCCACTTCTTGGAAGGAAGACTGGGAAAGCTACTTCTGTAGAGATACTGCCTTGGAAACCAAAGGAGGGGTCGCTATGAATAGGGACCAACTTGATGGCAGTGTGTTTGGTTTGGTTTAAGAATGTGTTTGTGATTTCATTAAATTCGTGGAGACTTTTCACTTTGAGGATCAAATCCCCTGTTAATTCAATGAGAAATCACGTTTTCCTCAATGATGAACCATGTATTTTGTTCTTTCCATTTAATACATTATCTATACATATCACCTTTATAAAACTACTATTAAATATGTTAAAATATCTCACATTTTCTCCACTCCCCCCCAAAAAATGTCTCAAACAGGTGTGTGTGTGTGTGAGTGTGTGTTTTCCCTTAACTATCCCTTCACTGGAAACTTTGTGCTACCTTATAGAACTTTTGACTATACTGTCATACTTCCTAATTCATCTGAAGCTACCTGTTCTGAGTCTATAATTTTATCAATGCAAAATAATGAGAATTCTTTGTGATATTGAATCAGTTTTGTGTTTTTTTTTTTTTTTTTAATACATGATAAAAACTAAAACAAACTAACTGCCATTGAGTCCGATCCAACTCATAGTGACCCCTCCTTGGGCTGCTATAAATGGGAATCAATTCAATGGCATACAACAATAACAAAAATGTTTAGAGTGGAGTCCCTTGCTGGTAGCCTCCTGATTGAAGCTTCGATCCCACCCAATGTGCCTAGGAAGAAAAGCCTGCTGATCTACTTCCGAAAAATCAGCCTCTGAAAGCCCTGTGAAGCACACTTCTCTGACACACAGGAGGTCATCCTGACTCTCATTCAACTCTACAGCAACTATTTTTCAGGTATATTTGTAGTGCATGTTCAATGAGCTCTAGTGGTGTAGCAGTTAAGTCATTTGGGTGTTAATTAAAAGGTTGGTGGTTCAAACTCACCAGACACTCCATGGAAGAAAGGTGAGGCAGTCTGCTTTCATAAAGATTTATAGCCTTGGCTACATAATGGGGATCACTATGAGTTTGGGGCAGTCAGCCCCAGGGTTACAGGGTTACAGGTGGACTGCTAAAAGAACTAACAGATCTGTCCTGGAGGAAGTGCAGCCAGAATGCTCCTTGAAAGCAAGAATGGCCAGACTTCGTCTCACCTATTTTGGTCATGTTGTAAGAAGGGACCATTCCCTGGAGAAGGATGTCATGCTTGGTAGGGTGGTGGGTCGACGAAAGAGGGGGAGGCCTTCAACGAGATGGATTGACACGGTGGCTGCGATGATGGGATCAAGTATAGCAGGGATTGTGGGGCTGGCGCGGGATAGGGCAGTGTTTCGTTCTGTTGTGCATGGGGTCGCTATGAATCGGAAATGACTCGACTGCATTTAACAACAAACAACATGAGTTTGGATCAACTTGATGACAGTGAGTTTGGTTTTCTTGGAATAAAGGTTCACTTTCACGTAACAGTCATGCAGAAAGTACAGAGTTCCCATATATCCAACTATCCCCTTAACATTGTATATCTGATTAATAATAACTTGGTATATTTATTAAGGTGCTCTGGTGGCGTAGTGCCTAAGGCAGCAGCCACTCCATGGAAGGAGGACTGCGAAATCTAGTTCTGTAAGATTTACCACCTCAGAAACCCAAAGGGGGTTGCTATGAGTCAGAATTGACTCGATGACAGTGAGGTTTTTTTTTGGGGGGGTACATTTATTACAATTGATAAACCAATATTGATACATTATCATTAACTAAAAGACATAGTTTATATAGTAGTTACAGTTTACACAGTGTTCATAGTAGATTTTTAAAATATTTTATTTTGAGATAATTTTATACATAAAGAAAATTTGCAAAATAATTCACAAAATTCTCATATACCCTTTACCCAGAAGCAACAAATACTAGCATTTTATGCCATTGCTTTGTTTTATAATATTATATATTACACACACACAGATACACATTATTAGATTTGTTTTGAGAGTATATTGAAATTTATTTCCAATTGTCTACTGTATATTTCTTATAAAAACACGGTATTCACTTTTATTACTACAATAAATTTATTGAAATAAGGAAATTAACTTGATATATTGTCTAACATATAAACTTATAAATATTTTTCAAGTATTCCAATATCTTTTCTATAAAAAGATCAAAATTTCAGCATACAAAATTTCCATCTTCAACATAACTAGAAAATAGAAAACACTAAAACATCAAATTACCATAAGTTGAAAATAAATGCATCTCATTGTCTAATCCTATTTTTTTCTCTTGATTTTATATTTTTATGGAGCTTGTACTGGAAGGTTTGGATTTAAATGAATTCCATTACTAACCCTGGTAAACAAAGAAAAAAAAAAATACTGCCATATAGTTGATTACAGTTCATAAATTAACACTGTTAGTTCTCATAAATGAGTTTTATTTTAGCTATGGAAAGAATGTAATTTAATTATAATTACCCTCATTCTAAAATCCTATTTTACTTGTATTCTATGTATACAAAGTTTTATTTCTTGGTATACGTTTTATTTTTAATATTTAATACTATTTTTATTATATTTTTAGTATGTGTGATCCTGGTAAACTGTCTGTATACAATAAGGGTTTTTAGAAAATTGGAAAATGGTCAAGCTGTTGTGATAAGTGTGATACCATAGCAGATAGTCTTGTGGTGTAGTCATCCTCTACCTGCAAATGAGCCTTTGCCAATATGTCTCTGACAACAGCTCATTCAC